TAAAAATATGAAGACAAGTTTCACGAACAGCCAACATATGTCTAATACGTCCTATTCTTAAAATCAGGTATACATATATTTTATATATGTATGTATAAAATACATTAGAGTCAGATAGTTTAATCGCATAAAATAAATAAATTTTTAACATAAAATAAGATCAAACCTCTCGATATAGCTTTCGCGATTATCATTTTCGTTTTTTCTTTTTTCCTTGAGACATACGTACAGCTTCATTCAAACAACAATTACACTTGATCTTTTCTAATGTAGTAAACAGATCTCATAAATCTTTTAATGTGAAACGAAAAAAATTTGCTTACAAAATAATATAATTATTTTCATCATCGTTACAAAACTCGTAAAAACAATTTAACAGTAGTCGATTTTACAATATCATGCACATATATAAACTTTTTAATATGCTTCAGTCAGTGATCAAAATCAAATGCCAAAATATTGAATGTACTTGAATCATGCATACAATAACAATAAACACAAACAAATATTTTGAAGCCTTTGTTAGACTACTGAATAATAAACACCAATAATTTAAAATGATATGCATCAGATAATTTATTTCGACTAAAAATCGTTTTACAATCAATCATGTTAAATTAATTATTCCGCAGTCGATCACTCACTAAATAGGCACTCCAATTCTCATAATCTGAACGATTTTTAACATAGAGGATATCCCGAATACTTTTCATTGTAAATCTTCCCCAGAATTGTGGGGTGTGTCACGAATAATAAACAGACTCATTATACTAATAAGATTTATAGGACGAAATTTTTATGAGATCTGTATGCTAGAAAAGAAAAGACGCGAATATCGTGAAATTTCTCAGCAAAGGTATCGACTTCACCTGAACTCGTAAATTTGTATACTGTGCTCTGGAACATGTCTCAGATTCAAGGATTGATACCTGAAACAATGTACATAAAAGTATCGTTTTAATCATTTCGTACTGTATTCGCGATATGAATTTTTCTTAAATACAACATTATTGTATCCAGAAATCAAATATCATTAATTAGAAGTAGTTAGCATTACAACTACTTACGATACTCTAACTTATAATATAGCGTTTTACCATTCGGAACTACGATGATAATAAAAGCCTTCTATCGTGGCGGCGGATTTCTGGAAGCAAATATAGTAAAATCCTGCAAAGGAGGCACCATTGATATCTTTGATCGTATGATCAGGTACCAGGAAGTGCTCCTTCCACCTCATAAATACAAAATCTGTTCCTTTCAGTGCCTCGTAATCAAATGTATCGGAATTGAATGTTTTGGCGTATTGGCAGAACGACTCAAATTTACTCTACAATGAGATTGAGAAAAATAAATACAGATATAATATCAGCGACGAACTATATATGGCAACAACTTGAGTGATAAGCTTACGAACCCAGTGTTTCTTGTCAACATCCTCATCAGCATCCCATTTGCGAGTCAAAAAGGGATATTTTTTCGAGATGATTTCGCCGTCAAAGAATGTTGTCAATGTTGGAAACTCTTCCGTAAGACCTTTGATCTTCAGGTATCCACAGAGATAACTGTTTTCCTCGTCCACATGCTGTAATGGGGCAAACGCGATATAAAGAATCAAACTGATCTCATCCCATGTGTACCATAAACAATCCTTCCAGCTTATGTCAACTTTAATTATACGCAAATATGCGAATTATCTGCTGCAAAGAGGAAGGGAGAGAGAAAGGATGAAGAAAGAATGAGAAGAAATGATTAATTTCAGACATCCTTGTCGTCGAAAACGTTTCCTCTACATTCGTTTCGACGGGATCATGTTCGCCAAATTGTGGCGCAATTTCCGAAAAATGACGACATAACGGCGGCGCGAACGACAGTCGGGTCAGGGAGAGGGGACATGACAAGGAATGCATGACTAACCTGCAAAACCACCTCCACGTCGTAGCTGTTGCCCTTGGACTTTTGCGAGCCTTGGAAGCGCGAGCCGTTGTAAAGCAGGGACTTGGTGACACCCGGCTGCTTCGAGTTCGCGGGTGGCGGTGGAACCACGTCGACCTTCACCGGCATCCTCGCACGGCGTTGCTCCAAGCTTGCGTGCAGCGCGTTCAATTGTGATCCGCGACGGCGACGGTAACGGCGACGGTGACGGCGATGACGACGGCGGCGGCGGCGGCGGTGACGACGCGCGACGCGGCGCCCCGCATATCACGATAGAGTGATCGTGTCGCAATGACTGCCGGTAATCCGCGGGGATATGGACGTTTTTATGCACCGAGCCTCGAACCCAGACCACGAGCGAGTCCAGGGTGGTTCCCCCCTCCCCCCGCGGGCAAGGAGTCCTCTCCTGATTCCAGGAGTGTTGCGCCTCGCGTGACGCGTCGCCGTTTCTTTCTTACCCTTTCCTTTCTTTCCCGTGAAACGGCCAGACGAAGAAAATTTCAACAAGAACCGAGCGTCCAAAGTTACCCGCTCTCGAGACGACGAGCGCCGGAAGCCGCAAACTTGACGCCGGAAGCTCTCCTCGAAAACATGGCAACCGTTTGAATCCATTTCGAATCTGAATGAATCGTTCAAGATAAATAATAAATATAAATTCGAATAAATTTTGTTATTTTTACTTTATTAAATAAATCCGCGCATAATTATTCGATAATTAGTTACTTAATATTCAATGTTATTAAAAACAATTACAAATATATTTTGCAATATTGAATCATATCTCAATATCGTAAATAGATCGGAAGTGGAATATAATTAATAATATAATTGGCAATTGCGAAACTATAAATAATAACAAAAGAGAAATAAAAAATTAATAATAATTAGCTAATAATAATTAGCTTATTTTATTCAATATTCTCTTGCAGGCAAATTGCATGCTTTGAAATTTTAAGATCATTCTAAAATTACCAGGTAAAATTGCAAAATGATATAACTATTAAATTAGACATCGTGTTACAGCTGTTAGTTTCCATTTTTCCAAATTAGACAACTTCAACGGATTTAAGACGCTGCACTGACCAGCCGCCCTGCGAACCCGTGACCCAACCTGATCTACTTTCCCTTTAATGTCAATTGATGCCAATGCAAGTATGGCGGAATTTGGCGATACGAACTCGCACGAGATGACAGAGAATCATGTCGATAAGCGGTGCAAGAATCAGTGGGTGCGATTGAACGTGGGCGGGACTTACTTCCTGACAGCGAAGACCACTTTGGCAAGAGATCCGAACTCGTTTCTCTATCGGTTATGTCAGGAGGACTCGGATCTTATTTCGGACAGGGTTAGTTGACACTGTTTCTTACCGGGAATTTCAAAACGAATCCGTCCGAATAATCGTCGTGTTTCATCGTCCACATTGACGTTGAGAATGATGACGAACTTTTCCCCAACGGAGATCCTTGCGCTTCCTCTATCGAAATGCAGTGAATGACTTTCCGTTTTGTTTTCTCAAGGATGAAACGGGAGCATACCTGATAGACCGCGACCCTATGTACTTCAGTCCAATCTTGAATTATCTACGCCATGGTAAACTGGTTATCAACAAGGATTTAACAGAAGAAGGTGTACTGGAGGAAGCAGAGTTTTACAATATCACTGAACTCATTCGACTAGTCAAAGAGAGAATTATTCTGAGGGACACTAGACCGCAGAGGGATTCCAAGAAACACGTCTATAGAGTTATCCAGTGTCATGAGGATGAACTGACACAGATGGTATCAACAATGTCGGACGGATGGAGATTTGAACAGGTATTAATAATTATTTCATTTATATTTACTTTATATTTTGTTAACTAAAGACTAAAGACTAAGTATTTTCTGACAAGCCACATGATATGATAATGTTTTTCATTGAGAAAACTAAAGCAATACTGAGTACTTGTAATTGAGTACAGATTGGTTTACATATATTTTCAATATTAATAAATAATTTAATCCTTTTTAGATTATGAGGTTATCATGATAACAAGAATATGTAATTAAAAGAGTTAAATTGTTTATTAACATTGAAATTATGTGAATCGATTAAATTGTACTCGATGTGTATCAGTGTTGTGCTAGTTTTTTCACTGTCAGAAATTAAGATTGAAATTGATTAGTTGGAAGAAAGGAAACCAATACAAAATTTAACAAACTTTATTTTGATTGGTCAAATCCAATCTCATTTCTCAATCTCAATTTCTAATCTGATATATGTATAATACAATGAATTATTAGATTCTTATTGTTTGTCAATGTTAAACAAAGACGAAATGATCACTATGCTATGTTGTATTTCTTGCTGGAAAGTGATTATTTATACAATTTCTTGCATACTTACTATTATATTAACGATATGCATTTCTTATTGCTTTTTTTTTAAATATAAATACTGTTTTTCTTTTGTTTTTATAGTTAATCAACATAGGTTCTCAATATAACTATGGTAATGATGATCACGCGGAATTTTTGTGTGTGGTAAGCAGAGAATACGGACCTAGTCAACTCAGCTGTAAAGAAGAGGAGTCTACGGATCGCGTCAAGGTACCGCTATCCTATTCGACTGTCTCCCATCCTTATTTGAGCCAAAGTAGCCATGATTGACGCGATCATTTTTATGTTTTTGTTGTATCTAAGCTGATATGATAGATGTGGGTTTATTAGCTATTCAATCACGTTTTTACTAAGTACCTTCACCATTTTTAAGTAAAACTATGTATCCCCTAAGTAATTCGGTATTATTGTTTTTCATGTTGGATCGCATGAGATAATTATTAAGGCAATAAACATCTATTATGGAAATGCGAATGCTTTCCTGTCTGAATGAAAAGATATTATAAATTTCTAAGCACTCCATAAGCAGTATCTATTATTATATGCTAAAGATCTACTCTTGCAATCCAACATTGATTTTTCTTGATTTCTAACGCTATTGTAAAATTAAATAACACATTTTTTTATCAGTTCTAATAAGATAAAATTAAAAAATTAAAACAAGCAGTATTATTTTTGATATTAACAATTTGCCTCTACTGATGGTTGAATTGGTTGGGTTGGGTAGAAAACCAAAGATGAGCTTTATCATTATACGCGATAAAAATGATTTATATATACACATTTATTACGAGATTGAATTTTATCTCATGTTTTGTCACTTACGCTTAATTCAGCAATACATTTTTCTGCATATAATATTCTTGACGATTGCTTAGAATTGAATTATTTTGCTTAATTATTTTATAAAGGGACCAAATGAAAAGGAAAACAATTTTGTTGTAGACATGAAATGTTCAGCAACAGATTTTATTAGGTGGCTTAATATTTTCTTCAAATCAAATTTAGAATAAAAACCTGTCAATCAAATTTTCAGTTTGTTTCATATGTATTTGTGTGCGTGTGTGTCTATATATATATATATATATAT